TTGTTGTTGTTGTGATTAGTTATGTTTTTTTTCTGATTAGTTTGTTTCAATTAAACACTTTTGTGATCATTAAAATGTTTATAAACAGTGGGAAATATGGAAACCTATAAGAAAGATCATAAAACACCCAAGTAGTGTCTTAAGAGTGTATTTTAACATAGATGACTTTTCTCAGAATCATGATTATGGGGCTGTTGCTCTCCCATCTTGTGTTCTCCGTTAAGGAAGGGACACAGTTCAGAGGCAATTAATCAGGCCTTTTGCTTTTTCCTAGGATTTCTATCACATGATCTTTAACATATTTGGAATATGGTATATATCAGTTACTCTGCCCAGCCAATCCTGAGTCACTCCCAGCTAATCATTATTTTAGGGTGTTTTTTGAGGGGAGAAGGCAGGGGAGGGGGGTGTTGGGTAATAAAAGGTCTTTAGTTTGTAAACTTTTAACCTAAATATTGTACAAAAAAAAGATACTAATCTTTTAAATCTCTAAAAATATGTTAGCTAAGAATGTATTTTTGCTGTGTTAATTTGACCTTTGTAACATTCAGCATCTTATATGCTCAGTGGCCATCGATATTTCTTCTATGAATAGCCTCATCGTCTCCATGCCCCTAATTTTTAAAAATGTTTTGTTGTTTTGTCTTTCATTATAATGTAATTATAACATTATTATTATTAATTTTTAGGAGGTTTTTTTTATTGCTGTCACATATTACAAATATTTCTTCCTGCCTGTTGGTTTGCCTTTTGACTCTGATTATGGTATATTTTGCTATACAGGAGCTTAAATTTATATGTGGTTAAATTAAACTTTTTTAGTTTTTTCTGACTTCTGCGTATCTTACCTTGCTCAGGAAATCCTCTTTGTCCCAAGGTGGTATTATTCTTGTACTATGTTCTTTATTTTATTTCAATAACTTCTTAACCCTCCCTTCTCAACCCCTTCCCTCTTTGCTTCCTTCTTTCCATCTTTCCTTCCTTCCTTCCAGTATTTAGACCTTTAAACCATCTGGAATTTATTGTTTGTTTCTGTTATGAGTTTGGGATCAAATTTTATATTCTCCCATATTCCATATACCACTTAATCCTGGCTCAGTGAATTGTACCCATTGAAATGTTCTTCCATAGGATCTTTTTCTTTCCTGGCATTTATCCCAGGGCAAAGAGCCAAGAAGACTGTTAATCGGCCTTTCTCCAAAGCTTTCCCTTCTGGCTTCCCCATGACCTGCCTCTGTCTCCCTCTCCTCTGTTAAGCAACTTTCAGTATTCTCTAAGTCAGCTTCCATACTTGCTTTCATTAATCTCTTTCCTTTAGAGCAAAGGTCACCAAACTTTTTCTGTAAAGGGCCAGATAGTAAGTACTTTGGACTTTGCAACCACTTAACTGTGCCTTTGTGGTGCAAAAGCGGCCACAGCCCCTAAGCTGGGAATGAGTGAGGCTTTGTTCCAATCCAGCCTTATTTCTGGACAGTGAAATTTGAATTTCATAGGATTTTCCCTTGTCAAAAATTACATTCTTGGGGTGCCTGGGTGGCTCAGTGGGTTAAAGCCTCTGCCTTAGGCTCAGGTCATGATCCCAGAGTCCTGGGATCAAGCCCCACATCGGGCTGTCTGCTCCGCAGGGAGCCTGCTTCCTCTTCTCTCTCTCTCTGCCTACTTGTGATCTCTGTCTGTCAAATAAATGAATAAAATCTTAAAAAAAAAATTACATTCTTGATTTGACTTTTCCCCCTACCATTTAGAAAATGTAAAAGCCTCTCTTAGAGCATGGGCTGTATAAACACAGGAGGTATGCTGAATTTATCCCTTGGGTTGTGGTTCACTCTTCTCCACTCAGGAGCCGCCAACAAGGGCTCTTTGCTCCTGACCTGGATTTTCCCTTCTCCCAAAGGTGTGGCAGGTCTCAGGAACGCAACTGCAAGCACTTCACTTCTGGTTTGAACTGAGCTTAGTAAATAACACGGTACATTTCAGTTTTCAGGCTTCCAAATTCCGGAACTAAGTCCCAATATACACATGACTTCAGAGTTTTATTTCCAGTGGGTATCATGTTCCCTTGTTCAGTTTGGTTTGAATGTTGTATTGAGAATATTGTCTTTTGGAAGGGGATATTTATTCTACTAGGGGCAACTTAAAACATGTTAATTTATTCACAGCCTTATAGACTACTTTTGCAAGATCATTTTGGTACAGAATATGCTTTTCTGGGAGCGTAAGTGCTATCTTTAGAAAAAAAAATTGCATTGGCCACTACAATTGTTTTTGGTAAAATGCCTATGTGCACTGAAACCCTTGAAATTGTTGGCCTCCGAGGATCTGTGTCTCTGCCACAGGAATCCCAAGTTGAGTGATGCAACTCATAGCTTAATGATCTTTTGGCCCATCATCTCATAATCCTTAATAAAAAACAACACAGATCTGTTGGGTATTTTATAGGCTACTACATTACTCCCATAAGTATATTCTTTAAAAAATGATTTAAAAAAAATAAATGAATAAAACGTATTTACAACCTTAAATCCAGAACATGTTGAGATTTTCACTGATTCTCCCTTTCCCATCATTCCACTGACTCTACCTTGGGGAGCGGGGAGAACAAAAGCTATATGATGTCTGTTTAAACTAAACGCAGAATGGTTTTAGATCAGTCGCTTAGCAGTGAAAAATATGCCCTTCATCAGTTGTGGGGGGAAGCTCCTGATAGTGCCAGAGGGAAAAGGAACCAACGTTTATTGAGTTCTTACTTTGCATCAGTTTAATTCTTATAACCCTCCGAGGGAGCGATTATCATCCCTGTGTTCAAAAGAAGCATTTTGTGCTTGGAAGGTTTTTATAACTTCCCCAGGGCAGTTTCGCTTGTTAAAGATAGAGCCCAGATTTGAGCCTGAGGGCCTGTTTCCAGATCTTTTCTTCCTCAAAGATTCTCCTTGGAAAGAATAAGCTTTTTGACATGACCAGTAATATATGAACACTTATATATATGTCCACTACACTCTTCTTTGGGGACACAGATACACATTGAAACAACTGGAAACTTCATTTAAAAAATCCTATTAATTGAGCATTGATTCCTTCTTTCTGGAAGAGTAGAAATGGCTTTTTTGTTCTGTCATTTTTCCCTTGTAAGACAAGTTCACTCACAAAATTATTTGATAATATCATTTACGTTAGGATTTTTTTCTTTCAAATTTGTCTGATTTACACTAGATATTAATCTTTAATATTTGTTTGAGCAGACTTCTCAGAGTCCCCGGTATTACAGATATCAGATAGTGATTTAAGTGTGAGGATTCCAAATGTAAAAATTTTAACTCCAGGAAAATATCCTGCATAAGCTACCCTATTTTTCTTCTCCTTCCTTCTTCACACCTTCTTATAAACATTTCCTTTATTCTTCCTCTTACAAACTCTGAATTTTATTTTTTTAATTTTATATATTTTTTTCGATTTTTATTTATTTATTTGACAGAGATTACAAGTAGGCAGAGAGGCAGGCAGAGAGAGAGGAGGAAGCAGGCTCCCTGCTGAGCAGAGAGCCCGATGCAGGGCTTGATCCCAGGACCCTGAGATCATGACCAGAGCTGAAGGCAGAGGCTTAACCCACTGAGCGACCCAGGCGCCCCCAAACTCTGAATTTTAAACAGAAAGTGGCTCAGGTGATAAAGGAATGAGTGTTTGCTCTAATGGTTAAAGGTTTTAAGTTTCGGATGTTTTGGGCTTTGTTTTAAACATGTGTTCTCTTAAAAGAAACTTTTGTAATATCTAGTAAAATTAGTCAAACAAGTTCTTCTTTGGCCAGGAAGTTGACTATCCAAGACTTGGCCATTGCTGGAGTATTATAATCATTTAGTAGACTTTTCTTTTTTCCTTCAATATATTTTGGTTGCATATTCTCAAGATAGTTATAATGGTATGAGAAAAAGGCAACCAAAATAATGGGAATATTATTGAATATTGAATAGGGAACATCACTGAAAAACAAAACGAAAATATAAATGCTCTACTCTAAAAATTAGAAGGCTAGAAGGGGTTGACATGGCAATTTCTGAAGTTATTAATCATTTTGACAGTCAGTAGTGAAATCCGGGGTTCTAGAATCACTAGATTCTAGATCACTTTGAATTAAGGGAGAAGTAAATTTAGTGCACATGAATTTGAGTGGAGAGATATTTAATTAGGAATATGTTTGGCTCTGAGTGACAGAGTACTGGAAGTAATAGTGGTTTAATAAGATAAGAGTTTGTCTCTGTAGAGACCAGAGGTAGTCAGCTCCAGGCTAGTCTGGTGGTTCCACAGTCATCTGGGTTTGGGTTTTTTCTTGCTTGTAGTTCTCTCATTCTTAGAATGGCACCTCATGGACCAGTATAGCCTCTCAAGCTCTGGCCATCATCTCTGCTTAGAATCAGCAGGTAGGAAGAAGTGGGACAAGGATACTTCCTGCAAGTGATACACAACAACACTTCTACCTAAATATCTTTGGATAGAACTTAGTCATCTCAAATGGGTCCAGAGTTTCAGTTTGGGATGACTAAAGAGTTCTGGAGGTGGGTGGTGGTGATAGTTGCACAAGAATGAGGAGGTACTTAGTGCCACTGAACTGTACACTTAAAAATGGTTAAAATGAAAAAAAAATGGTTAAAATGGTCAATATTATAGTATGTATATTTTAAGACAAACATAGTCATCTGGAAGGGGAAGAGGCTCGAAATGGAATCTTTACTCAGGATAGCCATTGCCCTCCTAAAATTCTGAGGTTCCGTTACTAACGAAGAAAAGGGAGTGAGTATTGAGGGGTAACTAGCAGTCTTGTGATGGCCAAAAATAGAAAGAGTGACAAACAAAGGAACAGGAAAGAAGTATAGCAAGTCACATATGATCTGTGGAGTGAACTGGTCAGGGGCAGTATGGATTAATCATAGTTGTACCTTTCCTGGGGCAAAAGAAATGATGTCAGATGACTTTTTGGTGTCTAATCCAAATTTCTTATGTTTGTTCAGTGGCATTGCCAAAGCATGGAATCAGGCGTATTTTGGGGAAGGCTCTGGTCCAATCATGTTGGATGAGGTACGCTGCACTGGGAATGAGCTTTCTATTGAGCAATGTCCAAAGAGTTCCTGGGGAGAGCATAACTGTGACCATAAGGAAGATGCTGGAGTGTCCTGTACCCCTCTAACAGGTAAGAGTTTTACCCCATTTCACCCCATTAATCTATCAACCCTTGCCCCTAGCACCATCTGGGCTTACCTTCTCTTCTCAATTTAGATAATATAACTACATGAACACACCAGTAAATTCTACAAATGAAACTAAAAACAAAGCAAAACAACTCACAAAAAACAAAAACCAAACAACTGACAGAAATTGTATATCAGCATGGTATGTCTTTGTTCATAAGTATTTCTGAATTTTTCACTTTTTTATAGTCTAAAAAGATAGAAAATATAATTTTTTGTAACATATAATGCCTAACAGTCAAAATCAGTGTGCAATGATAAATTTCACATTATTAGACATATACTTAAGTCCATTTATTTATTGAACTGCCTTGACTCTCGGAATGTGTTTATAGCTCGTGGAACTGTATTGATGGGATTCTTGGTTAAAGCACACTAATAAAGGAAACAGGTTAACTTGGCTGTGCTCGATTCTCTGACTATTCCAGACTGTAGCACACTTGTCTGGATATGTCTCATGTGTTATAAGAAGGGCATGTCTGAGTAAAATGAGTGTGTGTGTATGCAGTTACATGTTTTGTGGGAAGAAAAGGGAAAAGGGTAGAAGGAAAGTCGGGTCATTGCAAACCCATTGTTTCTATGGTAAAAAGAACTTAAAGAAAAAAGTTGGGGGTTTTAATCTCTCTTTAAAAAATCAAAATAAAACCTTTGGAGGGCCCATGAAATGCTTAAGTTACACCTTTTTATTTACATAGTTCTCTATGTGATTTTTTAAAAATTTTTTTTATTTATTTATTTGAGAGAGAGACAGTTAGAGAGAGCATGAGCAAGGAGAAGGTCAGAAGGAGAAGCAGACTCCCCATGGAGCTGGGAGCCCGATGCGGGACTCGATCCCAGGACTCTGGGATCATGACCTGAGCCGAAGGCAGTCGTCTAACCAACTGAGCCACCCAGGCGTCCCTCTATGTGATATTTTTATTAGAATAACATGTTTATATACAATGGAATACAATAGAAATATAACATTTATGCCAGATTTTAAGCCAGAGCACATCATCTTCTTGGGTCTCCTTTTCCTCCTCTTTCAAAGGAGTAGAGTCTTGTAGTGTTACTATGATGGTCAAATGAGGTAAAATGTGTACCAGTGTTTCGTAGACTGTAAAGTGTTACAAGAAAAAGTGATTGCGTTACTAAGAGACCATTTATTTTAAAGATCCCAGAGGTTCATGAAAAGTATGACCTTTACCCAGGACTATATATATGTTTCATTTGGGGTATTTGTATTATTTTGGCTAGAAAAGGCTTTTAAATCTACTTGTTGGGGGATAAATTTATTATATATCTGCTTAGAAGCTTTTGATAGGGTTCTCTGCGAATTAATTATTCATTGAACTCATAAGCTTCAAATTCAGATCTGTATTATCAATAAAAGAGCAAAAGCAAGACATGTACTCTAGCTTTTATAATTTATGAATGCCTAAGGAATAATAAATGCATTGACATGATAGATCACACTTTAACCAGAATAGCTTTTTCTGTCTTTGTATTTCAGAATTTTTTCATTTGCAGCTACAATTTCGAACTATTTCCAAGTTACTGTTTTCTTATTTTTTAAATGTAAGTTACTGATATTTCTCCTACTTACCAAGACTGAAGCTACAAGAAATTTCCCAAATATTTGTTTAATCTGGGGAAATCCAAATAACTACTTTGGAATTATATCAGAATATATTTTTCTACTCAGGAAATAGAAGTACAAGTAAGAAGAATATTTTCTTAGGATGGGTATGGTTATGTCATACTTCAGAAACAATTCAGTGACCTCAGATCACTGAGCACTGTCCCAAAATAAGTTTAACAAAAGGCCTTGAGAGAAACCTGAAGAAGTGATAATTCTAGTGAAGTTAAAATGTTTTTCTCCCCTTTTTTGAGCATTGATTTTCTTAGTTTCTGTGTCTCCTCTTTCCCACAGATGGAGTCATCCGACTTGGAGGTGGTAAAGGCAGCCACGAGGGCCGCCTGGAGGTGTATCACCGGGGACGGTGGGGGACTGTCTGTGATGATGGCTGGACTGAGCTGAATACATACGTGGTTTGCCGACAGCTGGGATTTAAGTAAGGCCCATAGATGTGAGGCGGCTAAATGCCAAATTATATTTTTAAAATTCTCATTTTGTAATCCTTACTTGTAATTTCTGTCATACTAACAATATATGTTCTCTGTCATCTATCTACCTGTCCATCTATCTACCCACCTATCTACCTATTCCCCTCTCTATATATGGAAGGACAAAAAACCTCAGTAAAAAACGGTAACATTGGGGCACCTGGGTGGCTCAGTGGGTTAAAGCCTCCGCCTTCGGCTCAGGTCATGATTCCAGGGTCCTGGGATCGAGCCCCGCATCGGGCTCTCTGCTCAGCGGGGAGCCTGCTTCCTCCTCTCTCTCTGCCTGCCTCTCTGCCTACTTGTGATCTGTCAAATAAATAAATAAAAAATCTTAAAAAAAAAACGGTAACATTTTCTGTGATGACGAGTAACCATATCTTGTTATTTATCTCATTACCTTTCCTGTCACCACCCTTCTTGAGTAATTGGTTAGAGCCACGGGTAACTTTTAGATTTCTTTCTTTTTTTTTAAGTTTTTTTTTATTTATTTGACAGAGAGAGAGAGATCACAAGTAGGCAGCGAGGCAGGTGGGGTGGGGGGAAGCAGACTTCCTGCTGAGCAGAGAGCCCAACGATGTGGGGCTTGATCCCAGGACCTGATCATGACCTGAGCTGAAGGCAGAGGCTTAACCCACTGAGCCACCCAGGTGCCCCTAGGTTTCTTTGTGTCTATTCAAGTAAGACTCTATGCTTTGAATGCTCAGTTTTATTCGGACGCATCACTGCTATTAGATGGTGTTGGTTCTGACATCATCGTGTCTGAAATTGCAGGGAAGTCCAGTGTCACATGCTTTGGTATTACATTACTCCCTTTCTCAAATGTGATGATAATTATTACTTTTATTTGAGAAAAATGGCCTTCTTGTCATGAGATGACCTTTCCAACTCACCCTTGACCTGACTCGTAAAATCTAGTATCACACTTTGGGCAGTGGATTTCGTGTCACACACATACTGCATTCCAGAGTAACCGCAAATGATGCCTTTTAGCTGCTATTTGAATGAAGCCCATGAATGCCCATTCTTTCTTGTTTTTCATATTTCTGGGTCATGCTTGAATTAATTGTCTCAAGCTTGAAAAAATTGACAAAATCATTTCATGCTTGAGATAGAGCTAATTGCAAATATTCATTAAACCTTAAAAATATACTTTCATCCAAGCCAAGTATCATCATGTTTAAACATATTTTTAAATTTGTAAAAGTAGTATAAAATACTAGAGCTTAGAAAATAAAAATTAAAAAACTACTCATAATTTTTCCATTCTTATACCATTATTATAATAATTTATGTGTATAATTTTATAACAACTGATAGTGAGTATGTACTTTTTCTATCCATATTACTTACCTTTATATTACTACAGTCATAATTTTTAATGACAACATAATGTCCATTAAATGTTCATACCATAATTTACTTAATATTTAGGTTAGTTTAATTTTTTCTATTATAAACAATGATACCATGAAGATATAAATACATTTTATTGCCCAATATTTTGCATTTTCATGGGCAGTGTGGTTGTGATTACTGTGTCAAGGGATATGACATACCAGCCAAATAAATATTAATGTTTAATTAATAAGAATTATTTAATAAGTGCCATTTCATCTTTGAATGAATTTCTGTTAGGCCTGAGAACTGTATTCCATTTTTACAGATTTAGAAAGATTCATAAATACTATTAGTTACTATATTTATATTTTGCTTTATTAATAAAAACAATAGAGTGACAGTTTTTCTCCATATTTTTTTAATTTTGTTTTACAAATACATTCAGTTTTTCTTATATATACAGAACATCACCTTAATGGTTCCAAAAATGTTCTCACTAATATTTGTTAAAAGTTCTAAATGATTGTGTTAGAAGGTAGAATAAGCGTGGGCCACATTTACTTTTTGGTTTACAGAGGAATTTCTAAAACAGTACATTTTGAACTAAGGAAGGGGTGAACTCTGGGTTTCTTTGTACAAATGAAATCTCAAAGTAAAATGACTTCTTATCTGTTATATAGTTGATATGGACAGAGAGTAATCAGATTTATGCATTTTGTGGAAAAGTGGTATAAATTCAAAGTGGTAGCAGTATGAGATTTAGGATAATTTTTTTTTTCTCGCTGAGATTTGATTAGTTAGCAAAATGGAGATCTTAGGATAATGAAAAGTTGCAGTGTTTTTAATTTATTGAAATGTTCATCTTCTTAAATGTAATACAAGTGCATTACAAGAAACTGGGAAAATTAATGTGAGAAAGATTTCTTTATATTCTTTATGTAGAAATAATAAAAACATTCAGTAAAGGAAGTGACTGACAAAATTTTATGAGTATGAGTTTAATTACATAGACTCTTAGAACCAAAAGACACCTTAAATAATTTTTAGCTCAGTTATTTCTAGAGGTTTGGATTTTGCAGAATAAAGAAAATAAAATTGGGGGGAGGATGAATGAAAGTACAGATTGTGACTTAGTTAGCAACTTTTTATTTTGCAACTTTTTCCTGTTTCCACAATGTATATATTTATTATAATTTTTTTGTGGAGCATTGTTACAAAGAAAGTCAATTGGAACTCAATATAATTTATACAATTTTAAAAATCAGATTTATGTAACAACGAAAAGCAAAGAGCATTGCCATTATTCTGATTTTGGTGAGCTGGAATCCAAGTCTTATCATGAATTGGGTGTAGTGCTTGAGGAATCACTGAACTTATACACAGTTTTTATTTTGGAAGAGATGATGCCAAAGAGGTCTAGAGGAACTGATGAAATCAGATGAGCTCAGGCGGCTCTTGAGAGGCCAATACAGAATGGGAGCTCCATTTCTTTGCTGTGCATTCTGTCTGGTTGGTGAGTTAAATTGTAGCCAAAACACAAGAATGAATGGGGGAAAAGGATTAATTATCCATTAGGTACCTGTTGAGTCAATAAAAAATTGTTAAGATGATCAAAATGTGTGATGGGGTGAACACTGCTCTTGAACTGTGTCTTTCAGAGTTTTATTTTATTATTTTTTTTAGATTTATTTTGAGTGCATACTCGATTGAGAAAGAGAGTGAAAGAGAGCACAAGCCGGGGGTGGGGTGCAGCAGGCAGAGGGAGAAGCAGGCTCCCCGCTGAGTAGGGAGCCCAGTGCGGGCTCAATCCCAGGACCTTGAGATCATGACCTGAGCTGAAGACAGACACTTAACTGACTGAGCCACCCAGGCGCCCTGGAACTGTGTCCAGATAAGAGAAAGAACAAGCACTTATCCTCTGGAGTTATGATGATTAATCAGGTTGTTTGTTTTATGATTTGTGGTTCCTTGAAACAAGAGACAGCAGTTCTACGCACAATGTTTATTTTTATTGCCACAGATATGGCAAACAAGCCTCTGCAAACCACTTTGAAGAAAGCACAGGGCCCATATGGTTGGATGACGTCAGCTGCTTAGGAAAGGAGTCCAGTTTGGTTCAGTGTTCCCGGAGGCAGTGGGGAAGGCACGACTGCAGCCATCGGGAGGATGTTGGCATCACCTGCTACCCTGGTGGCAATGGATACAGACTATCTCTGGGTGAGGATTGGCCGCAGCTTTGGAGTAGCCATAATTCAACCCCCACTGCACCTCTATCCACTGGTCTGGAATGGGAAGCATTTCTCAGCTTTGGCTTTTTTTAAGTCAGTTTTCTATGATGCTCTGAAAAAACTTTTGAGTCTTTCCACCAAGGTTATAAAATTTCTATTCCTCAAGTTATTATTCTTTACATAGAAGCCTAAGTTTCTCACTAAAAATCTTTAAAATCACATGTATCTGAAAGATGGAATAAAGAAGCTGCGGTGTCCATTTCTCCCCTGATTGGTCACCTGCTCTGATTCTCATTCACCTTGAATTCTAATGAATGATTTGGGATGGGATTTAAAAAAAAAAATTAGAACAAAACAATAGCTCTCTCTTGCATTCCCCACGATTTATTTCTTCTTTAGTCCCAAGGCCTTGTCAGTCATTGGTCACCAGTCATTCATTGCTCTGTACTCACCTAGATCTTTCCAGTTTCTCAGGGGTACCTAAGAGGATTATTGGAGTAAATAACCCATCCATCTTTCTAAGATATCCTGTTGTTCTAGAAACCCATCTGTGTCCTTTACTATTCCCCCATTCCAAATTTCTTTATATCTCTAGTCAGATAAAATGTGACTGGTTCGTCTAACAGTCTGGAAATATTTGGGGGTAAAAATCTTTCTGTAAGCAGAGGGCAACTACATGTCCTTGACCAACTTAACATCTGACTGTTCTTAACATCTTAACATCCTTTGAGGATGGCAGAATAATTATAAATGAAAAATATAGAGGGAGATATTAAAAAGAATTGCCGAGACTACCATGGCTCCATTATATATCGAACACATGGTTTTTGGTGAATAGATGTTAAAATGATCACAAGTGGTCTTTACTTTTCACCCCAGAGTTGCATCAACCCCTTTTGCATCCTTCTGTTTTGAGACTATGAAGCTTTAATCTTCACATTATAAAATAACACAACTTGTTGAATCCCACAGTATTTATTGTGTACTTAAGTTTGTCAAAGTATGTAGTTGATATCTCATTGTACTCTAACCTGTGAGATCATGGTGACTCACTGCTCTAACCTAACATGATACCAAGGAGAAGTAGAACATTTTACTCCACCCCTTAGTCATACTTTCAGTTTTGCCTTTCATTTGTCCTCCTTTCTCCTGCGGGATTTCTGATCCTCCCGGGATTATGTGAGGAGTGATTGTGTGTGGCTGGGGGAAATAGAACATGTTTGCTAGACGTGGATACCCTTGGCTCCAGATAGCAGGTATTTGGATCACGAAGTGATCTACTTAGGCACATTGCATCGGTACTCCAGGTGATGAAGTACTCTAAATACTATACAAATTATTATAATCAGAGTCCCCTGGAAGCCTATGTGGTTAAATGCATGCATATGGTCAGGCAACTAATTTTTCCAATTCCCCTGAAAATCTTTAATTCTAGGATTCTAGATATATTTTTAAAAATTTAAAAAGCTGAGGATGATAATTATTAATAAGATATATGATCATTATTATAAATGTCTTTGGTCCTAATTTCAGTAATACATCTATTAACTATTCATTTGTCTGAAGAATATTATGTCTGGGCCAAATATACTTTTGGAATAGAATCATATTACCACTTCTTCATCCAAAGAGATCATTATTTTCCCACTTATCAAAAAGGACTGCATATTTAAAACAAGCTTAGAGAAGGAAGTCATGGATTGTAATATAAAAAAAATAGCATTTTAAAAACAATTGAGATTTTTTACTTCTTTGGCACTGTAGTAGTGAGTTGTCAGACTATTACTGTTTTCAAGTATTTGAGAGGTAACTTGTGGACCTTAACTTTAGATGTGAATTGAAGTCCTCAAAATTAATAATTGATCAATAGACACTTTTTATATTTGGGTGTGTGGTAGATGGAATGCTCAAAAGCAATATTCTAATTCAATAAAAGTAATTCTAGTAAGAATGCAGTTAATACCCTGTGGGAACTGGGGGAAATTTTGGGGATGGTAAGTATGTGGATTTCTCATTTGAATATTGCACCAATTTTTTTTAAAGTTTTATTTATTTAAGTAATCTCTACCCCCAGCATGGGACTCGAACTTATGGCCCTGAGATCAGGAGCTGCATGCTCTTCTGGAACCATCCAGGTGCCCCAGTATTGCACCAATTCTGAATTTCAGAGTATTAAATCCTAGAGAGATTTTGTCCACAGTGAGACGGTCTCTTACCCAATTTTATAGCATAACATCGTGACTTTTAACTTAGCTAAATTATATCTTCTCTAAAAATATTATTTTCTAGAAATAATGTATTAAATCAATGTTACAGGAGAATTAAAATAAAGAAAACTCTATTGGAAGTCCATATTTGAAATATAAAATTACATATGATTTAAGATACCATATACCCATTGTACTGTTTAGTTTTCCTGAGCATTTTATATTTAAGATTTTAGAAATAAAACATGTATATTATTGCTACCATAACAAAAAGAACTTAAACAGTAAGATGGTATTGATAGAATGTCATCCTAAATGTCATCCAATTTTCCCTTTAAGCATTGAAAATCCAACAATTTTGTAAAACGAAGTGCTGAAATTAGGATCAGAAATGCTGCATGCATTATTTGTATGAAGCATGTAATTGAGGTTTTAGAAACACTTTATCATTTTTATTTTTATGGTTTATGAAAAACTGTCCATAAAATGCCTAGAATGAAATATGAAGATCTCATTCCATGTGCATGTGTTTTCTTAATTTTGGACCAAACATCCAAAAATGTAAAAATTTAGAACTTTAAGAAAAGAATTTCACCTTTTTTAGTTTTTTTTTCTTTGAAGATCACTTTTCTATCTTATTCCTTAAAAGAAACACAAAAACTCCAGACTTTCAGAAAGATTAATAAGAAATGTAAAGTTTCAAGTATACTGTGTTTTGTGCTATGGCTAAAACCCCAAGTTTTTTAGCTATTGTAAGCAGTGCATAGAGTAGGGACTCCATAAACATTTGTTGATTTTGACTTTGCTTTATTGATTCTACTATGACAACTAGTAGATAGATAATAGTAGACAGATACCTGGCCCACAAAGTGAGTATGACAGGGATAGAAACTAAAGAGCCGGCAACTCAGAGGATAACAAAGAAGGTTGGAAAAGTATAAAAATGGATCAGAAGACTCAAAGTAGGACATGTCCATGTTGCCAACAGTATTTTCTGTCAGTCAACAAATGCCAGTCTAGTACTTTCATATGTTGGTTTAAACAGAATTGATATTTTGTTCTTTAGCTGCTTACTTCACCTCCTTAGTTCTGCTGAGTTCAGCTTGCTTCATGGTTTTCCCTAAATCCTTATCAGTAAATCTCGGGGGCCCTGAAGCTGAAGACCCTTCTAGAATCTGAAGGGTATTAATTTGCTTGGGCTGATGTAACAAAGCATCACAGTGGATAGCTTACACAACAGGTATATATTGTCTTACATTTCTGGAGTCCAAAATCAAGGCGCCATCAGGATTGGTTCCCTCTGAGGGCTAAGAGGGAAGGCTCTGTTCCAGGCCTCTCTCCTTGTCTTACAGATGGGCCTCTTCACCCTGTGCATCTTCACATAGTCTCTTCCCCTTTTACATAGTCATAGTGGATCAGGGCCCACCCTAATTACCTCACAGTTCAACCCAGGACAGTATGCAAAGGGCAGCGAGGGCTTTTGGTTAAATAGCACCATATTTATTGATGTTGGTAGAGATATGTGAAATTCTACAAATGACTTCATTTGCATAACTTAGATAAACCTCAGTTTGAAAGAGATCAGTTTCTCAACTTTAAAAAAAAATAAAATGAGATTTTAAAAAATTTTATTTTTATTTTTTACTACAGCATTTAAAAAATTGAGGTATGATGAACATGTAACATTATATTAGTTTCAGGTATATGACATAATGATTCAATACTTGTATACATTGTGAAATGATCACCACAGTAAGCCTAACACCCATCACATAACATAGTTACAATTTTTTTTTCTTGTGTTGAGAACTTTTAAGATCTCCTGGCAGCAATATTCAAATATGAAATATAATATTATTAACTATATTCACCATACTGTACATAGCACTCTTTGAAATCTTAGTAATTTTTATGACTTAAGCCCTTCTTTTGGAAACATTAGTAAATAGGAAGACTGAAATGGAAATTGCCCTTGTAGCTGCTGCCTTCTTTACTTTTTTTCCCCTATACATTCCAGTTACCCATGCAGGGTGTGTGTGTGTGTGTGTGTGTGTGTATAAATATATATACACCATATATATATATCTCCCTAAAAATCTCAGCTTTGGAGTATAAATTTCTAGTTATGTTCAAGGATAAATGAACATACGTGAAACAAAAACAACTCTAAGGAAATGTCTTTTACAATTTAGAAGTTAATGGTAATAAAATAAGACTATTCACAATTTTGCAGTGGTAATCATTCATTCATTCACTCACTCAGAAACAGCTACCTCATGTCCTCTATATGTGAGGCACTGTTCCAAGTGCTGGGAATTCATAGTTGAGCAAGTGAGTACTCTGACCCCAAGGCTTCAAATGACATTGCAAAAGTGGATACAGTTTTTTATTAATACCTCTTCCTCACCCTTTCTTATATTACCCAGCTGATTTTATAGCTGATGTAAAAAATGAATTGTATTTTATAAAGTCTCTCATACTTTAACATTAGTTTGCTGTTTTGGCTTTTCTAATACTTTCAAATCATACTTAGGTTTTCCTATCAGACTGGTGGATGGAGAAAATAAAAAGGAAGGACGAGTGGAGTTGTTCATCAATGGCCAGTGGGGAACCATTTGTGATGATGGCTGGACTGATAAGGATGCAACTGTGATCTGTCGTCAGCTTGGCTACAAGTAAGAAAAACTGAATCATTTGGCATGGTTTCTTGATGAGCATTTCTGACTTTTTAGGTTTGTTCTAATGAGTTATTTCTTACCTAAAAATAATTTCTATGAATCAATTGGAAATACTGGCAGCATACTGACTTGATGCCAGATTATTAAGAAATACTAAGGAGAATCTGCTTAAATTTTTCTATTTTCCCAAAAGCAAGATACATTGTTACATGAGAAATATAGCTTTGGGGGCAGGTGGCTAGCTCAACTGGGAGAGCATGCAACTCCTGATCTCAGGGTCGCCAATTCAATCCCCGTGTTGGGCCTAGAGCTTACTCAAAAAAAAAAAAAAAAAAAAAGGAGCTTTTATCTAATAGCAAATAGTCTAATAATTCTGAATATTCATAATACTGCTTTTATCAGGTAAAGTTGGTAACCTTTTCTCTTTGATTTAGGTTTCAACCCTGTAGCCTTTTTAAGAGACTCTGGAGTTACTGAAACTGTGGTTGGTTCTCCTTATTCACAGCCGTTATACTTTCTAAAGTCACAGTGAACACAGTATCAGCAAATACTGAGCCATTGCTTCTAGAGTTAAGGTTGAACAAGAAGATGCTCTGCCTTCTTATTTTAGCTTTCAAACTTGCAAAATTTTGGTCTATTAATTTTTTTTCATTTTTTGATGATTTCACTTTTTTTTTGCTTTTTTAAAGATTTTATTTATTTGACAGAGAGAAACAGCAATAGAGGGAACACAAAGCAGGAGAAGTGGGAGAGGGAGAAGTAGGCTTCCTCCTGAGCAGAGGCGGGGTTTGATCCCAGGACCCTGGGATCATGACCTGAGCTGAAGGCAGATGCTTAACGACTGAGCCACCCAGGTGCCCCAATGGCTTCACTGTTTAAAATGCCATCAACGTAGGGTGCTCAAGAGCTATCCAGCATTCCTGAGAGCAAAAAGGCTGTGATGCACTTTCTGGAGAAAATATAGGTGGTAAATAGGCTTCACTGAGGCATGAGTTTCAGTGTGAAAAACATGGCACTAAGTAGACTGCGAAAAGGACACATGTTTCAGTTTGAGAGCTGAAATAAATAAGAAGGTTATCTTCTTGTGAGACCTCAACTGGGCAATGCACATTTGTGGGGGTTTTGAACATGTCTGCAAATGACTGTGAAAACTCTATGAGTATTAATTTGGCAGCTGCAAATATATGCAACATGTTACAGTTTAGAGGTGATGAAATTTAAACAAATATGCATAAATTGATGAGCTCATAATGGATTACTAATGTTGGTTTGGATTTTATTTTATTATTTTATTTTTTTAAAGATTTTATTTATTTATTTGACAGAGAGAGAGATCACAAGCAGGCAGAGAGGCAGGCAGAGAGAGAGGGGGAAGCAGGCTCCCCGCTGAGCAGAGAGCCTGATGTGTAGCTTAATCCCAGCACCCTGAGATCATGACCTGAGCTGAAGGCAGAAGCTTAACCCACTGAGCCACCCAGGTGCCCCTGGTTTGGATTTTAAAATATATCTTTAATTATACACCTATGTATATCTTAAATATTGATAAATTTAACTGGTTATTCCTATGCAGAATACATTTTTATTTTTACAAGTATTTCTAATTTGCGATGCCTGGGTGGTCCAGTTGGTTAAGTGTCCGGCTCTTGATTTTGGCTTAGGTCCTGGTCTCAGAATTATAAGATCAAGCCTCCTTGGGCTCCATGTTCTGGTGGAGTCTGCTTGTCCCTCTCCCTCCCACTCTGCCCTCCTCCTCTGCCCCTCCCCCACAACATGTGCATGTGCTCTCGGTCTCTCTCAAAAAATAAAATCTTAAAAAAGTAGTATTTCTTGATTTAATAAGAATTCAAATGCTTTTTCTAATTTTTTAATTCAAAGTTTGCTTTTGGTTACCCAGACCCTACTTCAATTTACTGCTGCTCAGTTTTGGACTTGGTTGCAATTCCAATTGTCTTATGGTAAATGGGTCCATTATTTGTGACACAGATTTTCAGTTTTCAAACTGGTTGTCTAGATGTCTAGGTGAATTTCATCAATGATATAAGTTTCCTTGGCTCACTACATTTCTAACACTTGTTTCTTTATTTGAAAAAAGTATTATTTTTCTTAACATTTAATTCACAGTGAATTTATCCAAAATCAGCCATTAAAATATATTGCTGTTTGAGACTGGTTACTTTGCCATGCTTTTATATTTTTATTAGAATAATCCAGGAAACCTAGTATTATTTTTGGAAATATGAAGGTAAAGATCAAGTTTGATTGTTGAATTGTGTGTTCTAGGTAAAGTTTAAAGAGAAAATGTTCATAAGCATATCCATCAATGGATTTTCACTTTGGCTTTTTTCTACATTTTTCATTGCTTTTTACTTATCATCAGTCCATTTTATATTTAACTGAAATAGTGAATTTAGGTAAGAAAGAATATAGATTAAACGAACAAATTTGTAGTAATTTTCTATTTTTGAAAAGATTTTACTTATTTGACAGAGAGATCACAGGTAGTCAGAGAGGCCGGCAGAGAGAGACAACAGGGAAGCAGGCTCCCTGCTGAGCAGAGAGCCTGATGTGGGGCTTGATCCCAGGACCCTGGGACCATGTCCTGAACTGAAAGCAGAGGCTTAACCAACTGAATCACCCAGGCACCCCTATAGCAATTTTCAATAATATTTCTGTAAGAATTATTGAGAAAAGCATTGGAAGATCTTACTTTGTAACTGTTTCTTTAAAAAAAACAAACATCTTATTTATTTATCTCAGAGAGAGCAGGAGGGCAGGGGGAGAGACAGAGAGAGAGCACGCATGAGTGGAGGGAGGGGGAGAGGGAGAATCAGATTCTACCCTGAGTAGAGAGCCTGATTCGGGGCTCGACCCCAGGATTCTGGGATCATGACCTGAGCCAAAGGCAGATGCTTAACCAACTGACCCACCCAGATGCCCCACAATTGTTTCTTTAAAATAAAGTCTCTTGGGACGCCTGGGTCATGATCCCAGGTTCCTGGGATCGAGTCCTGCATTGGGCTCATTGCTTAATGGGGAGCCTGCTTCTCCCTCTGCTTGTGCTTTCTCTAACTGACAAATAAATAAATAAAATCTTAAAAAATAAAATAAATTCTCTTAGTAAGTAAATCGGTAATTTAATGTTATTATAACAAATTGGATAATCATCTTCTAGTGCACAATCTGTAATTTACTGTCTAAAAATATTTACATGAGAATCATTTGGATATTTGTTCAATCTAAACATACTTAAATGTTTTTATAATTTCCCACTAGGGGAAATGGATTTCATGTTAGAACATATATATAAATGTAAACAAGTATGTGACTAGAGTAGATTTTTTTCCTCGAGGTCTACTTTGAATTGGTAAAAATCTTTAATAAGGCATTTGTTTGTAATAATCAATCCAGAAAACATCTAAGCTGTCCAAAGGTTTGGTTGGGTCTTATTAATAGGAGTTCCAGAGCTCTGTCCCCCAGACAGCTATATCATACGTGACGCTTCCTCCTTGGAAGTACTGTGAATCAAAATAGCATTAGAAAGCATTTCCACAATGGGAGAAACAAAAATGAAGTAAAAACACCAGGAAACATGAATGATAACTAATGTAGATATACTTAAACAGAAAGCAAAAGGCATTATTTAATTATGTTTTACATGTTACATAATATCTGAAAAAGTCATATTATTTTTAGAGGGTTGAGAGAGAGTGTGTTGATATCAGTTACACTTGTTAAGGTAGACTAAATAACTGTAGTGGAAATTCTATTCTATTTGAACTTTGTTTGAATCCATTAGCATATGTTTTCAAGATGACATTGTTCTTGAACTGTGTATTTATTGTAGCATCCCTTGAAAGAATCTACAAAATAGCATGTCCCTACCCAAGTTAGTAGAGACCTAAAATTAAAACTAGATATCTAGTTTTTGTTTTATAATTAAGTTAAAACTAGATATCTAGTTTTTGTCTTATAATTAAATTGATGCAAAAGATTTAATTTCTGGCATATTTGTATATGACACTTAAAAATAGAACAGTTATATCACTCTTAATTATAATCCAATGGAGTATCAGTATCATAGTGACTTGATGCTCTCTGTCATCTATTTAAAAAATATAGGAACAAACTCTTCCTTGACCTTCAGAAATTTTACATAGTTCCTTTTTCTCCTTGAAGTTATATTTAAAGTATTCCTTCTCCACAGAAACCTAATGTTATTATGCTTAAAAAAAGTGTATATGAGTATATATACACATATGTTGTATGTATACAGCAATTGTGTGTGTGTGTGTATATGTGTGTGGACACACATGGAGAGAGCAAGAGAGAAATTAAATCCTTCTGACAGGTTCCTCTCTGGATTTTATGATTTCTAGTGTACAACTGATTAAAGACAACAAAAACAGAAGTTTGAGAAGTAATTATTAAACATAGGAAATAAAAGCTGACTAAAGCTCCCATTCCTAACTTAGATTGATGGGTTGGGTTTATGGTGCTTGGTTAAAGGAGGCTTTATTGCTATCATATATTTAGAACTGTTCTTTTGTCCACTTGAGAGGCTTTTAAATCTTGGAGCAATGCCCTGTGGTAGGATTTGGGATGAGTGGAAAAATACCTCTTTCTTTTTTGTAGGAGGAGAAGGAGAGTTTTGAAACAAAAGTTGATTTTGATTTCAGCAAAACCAGTTTTAGGAGAGAATACCGATGTAATACGAGAATCTGAATATTGATTCCCTTAAAGCCCATAATACCTGGGAAAGTCATCTTCTACTTCCAGGAGCACTTAACACCCAGTTTAAAGACTGACTAAAGTATTGGATGGAGTCTGTTGTCTTCTGGGAATTACTGCATGCCTATAGCCCAGTGGGAAATCTTTTCCCCTTTTTCTAAAGATGACACAGTCCTTAACTGTTTTAAAAAAAGCCACAGGAAATTTTTTTTAGACTTCACTGTATTGTTGAGAATGTCTTTATTTAATCATGTACTTTTATTAGTTTAAATGTTCCCTAATTTCTTCTGTTGATGTATCTAAAATGGTACATTCTTTTAGTGTGTAAATTGATAAATTTCTAAGAGATCATCCTTTGTTTTATTTAATGAGTCTAATTTTGTTTTCTATATGTTTACTTCTACCTGTCATCTACTTCTATGGTATTTATCATGCTTTTTTGTCTGTTCTTTGTGTAACCTTATGTTTTTTGATTTGCAAGCAACCCAATTTTCTATTGTCATTCTTTCTCTAGTGGTTGGACATCCAGCATTCTTATTGTTTTACTAGAAGTTGTTTTAAAATTTTTAACAAACACGCTGGCATATTTTCTTACCAATTTCAAAAATAATTAACTGTAAGTTTCCCTTGCTGAAAAATATCAAGACATTTGGCATACTATTATTTACTTTTACCTCCACTAATCCTCACTTTACAAACTCATGGGAATCACCTGGGATTTTAACTTCAGAATGCTATTAATTTTTTATTTTCTTTGCCTATTTGATGCCTATTTGAATTTCAAATTGCATTACATTACACACCCACATTATCTGCAATTATTACTATTTTTTAAAAATGGGGGCACCTTGGGTGGCTCAGTGTGTTAAAACCTCTGCCTTCAGCTCAGGTCATGATCCCAGGGTCCTGGCATCAGGCTCTCTATTCAGCAGGGAGCCTGCGTCCTCCCCTCTCTGCCTACTTGTGATCTCTGTCTGTCAAATAAATAAATAAAATCTTTAAAAAAAATGATTACTAAAGGGGTGCCTGGGTGGCTCAGTCAGTTAGGCTTCTACCTTGGGCTCAGGTCATGATCTCAGGATCCTGGGATCTGGTCCCACGTCAGGATCCCTGCTCAGCGGGGAGTCTGCTTCTCACTCTCCTTCTGCCTCACCCCTTACTCATGCTCTCTTTCTCAAATAAATAAAATCTTTTAAAAAAATGATTACTAAAATAAGCAACTTGTGGCAATTCTGACTCAGAAAAAGGAGAGAGAATACAAGTAAACATTGGAGGAAAGAAGAGGAATATGAGAACAGACATATAGAAGGTTAAAAAATTGTGAAAGAGTACTGTGAATTACTTTTAGCTAATAAACTTGGAAATCTAGATGAAATGGACAATTTTCTGGGAAACCACATTTTCAACAAATATATAATTATGAAAATTGATAGAAAACCCAAATTAGTGATCATTTTTTGCTCAAAGGGTTTTGACTAATCTTCAATTCAGATAAGTCCCAAGTTATATAAATTGTTGCAGAGTGAGAAAAATATGAAATACGAAATTCTTTTCATTCATATACGGAGGATAATATAAATTGATTTCAAGACTGGACAGTCTAAGTACACACACACACACACACACACACACACACACAGAGAAAACTACACCCCATCTCATGAGCCTACATACAAAAATTTAAATAAAATGTTAGCAAATTTAATCCAATGGTGTACTTAAATAAATTTAAACAAATGGGAGTCTATTGTAAGAATAAAAGAATAGTTCCAAGTGAGGCATTTAATTAATGTATTCCAGTGTGTCATCTAAAAATGAAAATAAATGTGATTGGTTAGTAATGGTGAAATGTTATATTTTAAGAATCATCATTCCTTCATTATATCTATTAGGAAGCTTAGAATAAAATAAAACTACCTTGACTTTATATCATAGTCATCAAAGAGGAACAAAACAAGGGTGCCTGCTATTACTGCATTGACTCAGTACTATCTGAAGGTCTTTACTAAGCATTGAGGTATCAGTATTGGAAAAAAAGTCAGAATTGTTACATGAGTAATATGCTATTCCACCTAAATAACACTAGAGAATCAATGGGAAAGGCACTAGAACTAGTGTTTATTAATGTAATCATGTAAATACAAAAATTTAAAAAATGTAATAGCTCCTATAAGTGAGGTAAAAAATAAAAAGAAAACAATGTCATTTAGATGGTACAAAAACAAACAAACAAAAACAAACAAAGAAATGACTAGGAATAATCACAAGAATTGAGACCTATGTGAAAAAAAGAAAATCTTTACTGGAGGTAGAAGAGCTAGTAAGTGATACACCACAATGGAAAGACAAAATAGAAATTAATGTAACTATTAAATGCTGTTCTCATAAAAATCTTTTATTTTTCTTGGTGTATTTGGTGGGGTGGTGGTGGGGAGAGAGACTTGATTTCCAGGTTCATCTGAAATCATATCCATGTGGCATAGGTACAGGAACAGGCAAGAAGTCAATGACACTAACTGCACCAGTGGTTAGCAACCTTGGTTGTACAATTAAAATAACGCTGAGAGTTAAAAAAAAAAAATATTATCCATGCCCAGCCCTATTCCTGTGGATTCTATTTTAATTGACATTAGGTGGGTTCAGGTTTTGCTATTATTTTAAAGACTTCTAAAGGTAATCTAAATGTGTTGCCAAGGTTGGGGATTATTGAACTGTAAAGACCAAGAAATGGCTTCTGTACATGTAATTGTGATAAATGATTAAATTAAAAAGCCTTTCAAATCAGTAGGAAAAGTTATTAGGACAGTGAACTTAGAGACAAAAATTAAGCTAGATCCCTTACTAACATTAAACAGAAATAAATTCCAGACAGAACTATGATACACAAAATAAAACAGAAAAAAACTGTTCTTTAAATAATCACATTTTAATCGTATGTATTTCAAATGAATAACTTCCTTTCCAAAGACTTGCCCTGTATTCAGCAATATATATCCAGAACCTTAAAAATCTTTATACCTGTTGAACAAAAATTCTACTTTTGGGAAGAAATCTAAGCTATCAACCAACACTTACATTTAAGTATATATCTATAATTTTAAAAAGTCTTGAATTTTAAAAGTAAATGTGCAGCAGTAGGGAAAAAAACTTTAATTTTTCTATATTAAGGTTTTTCTTCTAAGGAGATTTTATTTATTTTGAGTGTGAGAGAGAGCACAGGAGTGTGCACATGTGGGTGGGGCAGTGGGGCCTTGTGCAGAGGCAGAGGGAGAGAGAATCTCAAGCAGACTCCATGCTGAGTGTAGAGCCTGAGGCGGGGCTCAGTCTCAGGACCCTGAGATCATGACCTGAGCTGAAATCAAGAGTTACCGGACTGAGCCACCTAGGAGCCTCTATGTTAAAGTCTGATGCAGAGCTTCCTGAATAGGAATCATGTAGGGCTTATTAAAAAAAAATAGATTGCTAAGTCCCATTGGTGATACACTCACTCAGAATCAATCCAAGTGGCCTTTTAAGTACTCTGAAGTTTGAGATGCACTGAAGTGTTCAATAAATCTTTTTAACCAGTAAAAATTATGGTTAGTATTTTCCCCATAAGTATGTACAGGAAGGGAATATGCCAAATGCTAGCAGCGTGTTGTTGGGATTTTTTATACTTTTATTTTGTAAATTTGATATAATGAGCATTTATTACTTCTGTAATTAATAAATAAGTTTCATATTATAAAAGATTTACTTTAAGAGTACTGTTAGAGTCATCTGTTCGGGTATAGGGGTCTTCTATGACTAAAAGTTTATAATGGGTTAAATCTTATTTTTATTTGCACTTTTTGTCAGAGTAGCAGTTAACTAGTTAGCTGTACCAGTTTCTGAAGTAACTGTGCTGCCAACCACAAACATGTGAGTTCAGGTTTCATTGCTGAAGGAGGTAATTCAAATGAATTTCTCAGAGAATCCGTATCAATAAATGACTTTGCTAGAGATCCTGCATAAGTATAAGGAAAGTATAATAACTTTAAGTAGAATGTATTTTGATGAGAGAAATATGGTCCAAATTGTCATTTTTAATGAATCAGTTTCTTTTGATTTAAAACCTGTCTTTTGCCCATTTTTCTCTTGGGTTGTTAGGTCTAAAAAAAATTAATGAATTTTGAGAATTCTTTTTTTTTTTTTTTTTTTTTTTTTT